ATGTATTTATATTTATATGTATGTATATGTATGTATGTATATATGTATCTATGTATCTATGTATCTTATGTATATGTATGTGTATTTATATATATATATTTCTTCGCTCGACAACACTAAAACAAACATCTCTGGCGATATCTCTGCGATACTCGTGTAGGTGCCCTATGTGCGGAAGGACATCCCAGTGGACTTTGTGTGTGACATCGCATTCGACTGGGCTGACCCAGTGCCTGTTGTGTTGCGCGGTGCTACGTTCACACAGGCGAGGTTAGATGGCACGGCTGTCATAGGTATGTATGCATATACCTGATACGTGCATGTTACTTTACACATTTGCCTATACATCACATCTACGCAATGGTCAGCAACGTGTTCTAAAATATACCTGTGGGGAGTGGTTCAGTTCTTGTGCACGTGAAAGTGTGTTGTTTTGTATGTCAGTGCATGTATGTACACATACACATAGATACATCACGCCTACGCAATTCTCAGCAATGTGCCCTCACATGTCTGTTATTATTTCCCCTCTCTGCAGTCCAGAAGTGTGACACCGGCGATGACGATGTGGTGCCCAAATCCGAGTGCGTGTGCATTGCCGATCTAACAGTCGCAGTGGATGAGAACATTCGCCTCGGGCCGTACGTGTGTGTTAGCCTAGTCCATTTTGCGGTGGATGTGGACAACAGCTCAGTCGCTCAGTTGGCTCCGTGACTGAATGCCGAGCTCTGTTACGTCTAGGCACGTACCGTACCATTGCCATACTTTCCAGTGAGTGGGGCTAAAACCCTAAACCCTAAACCCAATACCCGGTCTCTTTCGGGCCTTCCGAAACCCTATCCCCAACTCGGGCAGCACCTCAAACCCTAGTCGGACCGACTTGAAACCCTAACCGAGATCAACTTGAAGCAACTTAGAGACAACTCAACCCCCAATAATTCAACGTCAAGTGAATAGAGAAAACCCTAATCTCTATAGAAAAGGAAATAAGCTTTAAGATTACCTTCTCATATGAGGAAATAAGCTCGGCACTGCATTGTTGCTCCCTAGGAATGCGGGTGGTTGGTAGGGGTGTATTAACCAGTAACACTTTGCGGGCGATTCGGACGGTGAGTCCGTCGCACAGGTCAACATCTGAGGCGATAGGGTGTCAACAGCGTATGTTCACCAATGTCACATGTCCACTCATCAGAGTATGTCCTCTCATCAGTGGACGACATGCTGGTGAGGGGCGTGCTGTTTTTAAATACACTTGGTGGTACTATTGCTACCCCGCGACCGGAGGCTTCGTAGTGCTACATATGCTGAACAGTACTACTTGCATATAGTACATAGCACTACATATAAGCCATAGTACTACATACACTGCATAGATACGTGAGAGGCCTTCCACATGCAGTCCCTCACTGACAGACGGCCGGACAAACTCATTTCGATCCTGCCCTATAAGTACTAAATTAGGCCCTGCCCAGTCACAAATGGGCCTATACGCACCTGTCCTAACTACGACCAGTCAGAGACCGGCTCCACCCGCACAGCATGGCTTGAAGCGGGTGCTTTGTATCAGTCAGAGCATGTAGTATGTGTCTTTATCCTCGAGCGATTCACGCCTAGTAGGTGCCTGTACCTGTACTGTGTACAGGCTTACAGCCGCCACAGCCAACACGTACCCTGAGGCAACGTATTAAAAGAGCATTGTAGTTGTTAAATGTGGCACTAACACACAAGACACTCGAACTCTGACCACTCCATTGACCCCTAGTGCTTGGTAGATCACGCACAACCCACACAACCCAGTTATTTCGCATAGGCACAAGCCTATCCACAAGGCCTGCTGGATGAATATATATTTATATATATATACGTATAGTCAACATCCGCATGTGCGCTACAGCTGACACGTGTGCAGGATCACACTCAGCATCTCAACTGACAGGCAGACACAGACCCACAGTCTTGCTTACCAACCCGCCGTGCCGCACGAAGCACACACCCGATCAGATGGACGCAGACACACAGTCTAACCTACACATCCCCTGCCGTAACAAACATGCACTGGGCTGAATCCTTACAGGCACAAGGCCAACTGGCCCGAGTGTCCCCAACCACATACACACTTCGCCAGATCGCACGCAATGGCCCGTACTATCACAGACGCTGCTGTGTTGCGGTGGTGGCCGTATACGGGTAAGTGCGCGCACCCGTCGACACGAGGATCTGAATGCTACGCTTGTGTTGCACCACAAACACCATGCACCGGCCCTGTCCCAAAAATGGGTGCAAAGGACTCTGCCTCCGAGATGTCCTCTGAAACCCCGGTGTTGACCCGCGGTGTGGAAGCTGCTAGTGTGACACACGCATAACTACATACCATGGGGTAGTATAAGCAACCATGCAACTCAAACGAATGCTAGTGCTCTGGTGAATGTACCATACACACATACCAAGGGGTAGTATAAGCAACCATGCACCTCAACGAATGCTTGTGCTCTGGTGAATGTACCATACATACATATAATGAGGTAGTATAAGCAACTATCCAACTCAACGAATGCTTGTGCTCTGGTGAATGTACCATACATACATACCATGAAGTAGCAAAAGCAATTATCTAACTCAACGAATGCTTGTGCTCTGGTGAATGTACCATACATACAAGGCATGAGGTAGTATAAGCAACCATCTAACTCAATGAATGCTTGTGCTATGAATGTACTCGGGTATCAGGTGTTAGGCACACGCGTAGGACTGAGCTGGGTCTTCACACACGTACACAGTAGGTGCAGCACCGGCCCCCACCACACCAACGGATGACCACTGCACAGCGCATACAGGACAACACACACACCTGAGCGATTGAAAGTGGTAGCTGACTGACACCTTTGGACAACCCCAACGCTTTTGGTGTAACTGGATATATGTTACAGGATATAATAGTGCGCGTATTGGGTTGGAACTCTGGGGAATCAGTAGATAGAAACCAGCCTACATCATACTAGAGGCGAGCCCTTGATGCGATGGTTGAGGTGAATAAATGCACCTTGGCATATGCTTCATAAATACGATTTCGCATATATTTAGACATATTTATTATGCTAATTTTATTTATTTTTGGTTCCGAAATTAGTATCTGATGCAAATGAACGGGTCACGTCTTGATTTGGCCATCAACACTGCTATTGCATCGATGGGCCAAAGGAAAACGTTGCTCGGTTCGAATCCATTGCTGTGCAATTTGCGGCGGCACTCCGTCCGCGGCTGCTGATGCGGGAGCTACTGTAACACAAATGACAGTGGCAGGTATCAGTATGAAATGACAGGCTACAGAATGCAATGACACGTGTCAATATGAAATGG